CTCCTCCCCCCGGCCCAGGCAGTACGAGATCCAGTACTAAGCACCACTTCCACCGCACAGGCCAACAGCAAAGCAAAAGAAACGCGTGGTTAAACGAAACAACTCCGTTAAGTGTGTGGTGCTAGTACTTATCACTGCCTGTCGTTACTGGCTCAAGAGAGTGGTGCAGCCCCCAAAGCCTCCAGCCCTTATCAGTTTTCGGTGCAGAGAAGGTCTCTGTGCTATTTTCTCCTAAGTATGCCTGAAAAACCTGTTTGCAAGACAAATCCAGAAATTTCTTACAGCAGGGATCCAAAAATAAAAATAAAAATAATAAAAATAAATCGGTGTATCCTTCAGTGACTTTTTCCCTCCCCTCCTTTATCGCACTTCTAGAATTGCCACTGCTGACGAACGTTACTCTAGGAAGATGCTGCCGATCGATTAAACGGCTTGGCCCGCACATCCTAGCAGCACGCCCTGGGACCAAGGCAGGAACCGGGTCTCTCTGGAGGCAGCTTCCCTACGGCCAGCGAGACTGAACGTCAGTGCGCTGCGGGTCGCACAGGGCTTCGTTCCAGTCCTGCGGGGAACAGACGGGAAATCGTGGAGCAGTGAGGGCTACGACCGTTACAGAGCCGGCGGCCGCAGCGTGAAGCTCGGTGCCTCTCTCCCTCTCCGGCAGCGAAGCAGGGAGCTCTGAACAACCACCTCTTTTCGCCACCACCGCTGTTTGAGGGTCTTTAATCAAGGCCTTAACGAGAGGCCGGCTTTCAGAATGGCTGAAGTGCTTTTGTCACGCAGCACGACGAGCTGCGCTGCGCTGCGCCGTGACTCGAGTGGCAGAGCGGAAGGGACGGCGTCTGACCCGTGCTAGTCACAGGAGCACGGACACAAACCGTACCTGAAGAAATCCTCCTCCCTCATACTGACATTGGCCATAGGAGGAATCACCCCGTAAAGGTTCGACTCCTCTCACTCAGCGCAGCGGGGATACCACGAACAGGAACGGTTCTCGCCCCATGCTGCTGCTCCTGGAGCGACATTAAGCTCGCCTCTTGCCTGGGTGAAAGCGTTTCACACCGTTAAAAACAAAAGCCGTTGGACCATTTACTCTGCAGCGCCGAGACTAGGAGGACTATGGCACGTGTCATCGGGACAGCTGATGTGTTGTCTCCCACGGTCTCCAACACATTCCCAGCTCTGGTGCAGGAAAGGCAGCGATCGGCAGCCCCTCAGCCTGTGCAGTGTCCGTTTACGGCTTGGGAGCCATCAGCGCTTTAACCCCGAGCGGCTCTCAGGGAGGCTCCTCCACCCCGACACGGATTTGGCGTTTTACTGGGAGTGCTTCTCCACAAGGCTCTGCACGGGGCACGGGGACTCTGCACGTACAAAGAGGACACCCTCTGCTTTTATCGACGGCATTCGCCCTCTCCCGTGGCGGCCGTTACGGGAGGAAATGCCCATCTTACCCTGCTGCGGGATAAAACAGAACGGGCTGGATGGGGTTAGGAGGGCTCCGTCACGTCAGCAACGTGGGAGAAATGCGGAGCTACAAAAGGCAGGACCGAGGTGGACTACGTGGATCCCTAGCAGGAACGGGTAGCATCAAGTGAGGGGAGCGATGCTGCGGTCACTGGTGGGCTGAGCTCGTGACAGCACCAGAAACCCGTCACCAGAAATCTCAGCTTTCAGTAGCCACGTTAAGTGCGTTTTAGTGGCCACTGCTCCTCTTCCTCCACCTATAAAACGCAGCTCAAAATGCCCGCAGCCTCCGTAAAGGCAGCAGCTAACGGCTGTTATCAGTGTGACGCTGCTGTGAAGCGCTCGTTGAAGGGCGTTTTAAGGACCAAACCACCACCACCGGCTTCGCTTTTAATACGAGGCCGGGAAACTGCGCTCGTCTGGAAGCGACACGAGAATCTCGTGCTGTAACTCAGGGAGGACCAAGGAGACAAAAAGCTTTAACCTCGGCCACTAAGACACCGCAGCAGGTATCGGTTCAGGCCGCGGGGGCCGCTGAACCCTGCCAGCAGGACAGAGCTGTGTGCGCGTCCCACGATCCTGATGGCGCTGGGACAGGGCCTCGGGTTGAGGACGGGGCATCCTAACTATGCTGAGCCGAGCCGCAGCACAGAGTCCTGCTGCTCTGCTCTGCTCTGCCCCATCAGCAGCTTCTGGCTCCCCAGAGAGGGAGGGACGCCCTAGGAAAAGGATTCTCAACACTTGATTATTGCCCCGGAGGCCAATGGCACAGGGAATGTTTAATTTCTCACTATCAGTGCCTGCTTTTCGGCCGCAAACACTGAGCCAAAAAGTCTTTTTAAGCAAAATGGATGGAGTTTTGCTACCAGGAAAGCATCTGCATTGATTGGTAGAGGTTTCTCGGGCACGAGCTATGCCGAATTCACACCGAGATGGATGTTTCCATCGGCTAGCCTCCAAACTACCCTGGACTCAGAAATCACAGATCCCCGTGGAGTGGGTTTTGGCTCCCCTGCTGACACACCAACTACGGTGGCAGCGGAACGAAAACAGGCCGTTCGTTTCAGTTTTAGTGGGTCTTTCCAGCTGGGGTACAAGCCTCTGGCTGCACTTGACACCGAGTAGAAATATTGCAACGTATATTAACGGACCAGCGAGGTGGAAAATATTCACAAGGAAGTTTACAAATGAACCTTTGCGTGCGTAGCGGAGCTCACGGGACGCTTTCTGCAGCGGTCACTGTCCAATCTACGAACGGAGGGATGGGAAATCCCAGGTAATTAAGCTCTTTGTGGTATCTGACTGGGAATTTCAGCACTGAAGGACTTGCACAGGTTCTCCCAATAGTGCTGCGGTTTTGTCACTCACGTCCTGCTTTGACCGTACTTGAAACGTGCCACGTTCACCTAGTCTGGAAACACGCACAGTAAAGAGCAGGCTGACGCCCGGGCTACAACACGTTCTGCAAACCTACGGTGCCCCAGTCCTCCCCAGCACCTCAGCTGCCAGGTCTCCGGTGCTGTGAGTTCGAGTCGTAAGGAATTGCCCCTTCGTGAGTTACCTTGGCAGTTAGTTTTAGGTCAGGACCTCAGAACTGTAGCATCCCTAGAAATGCAGCTCCCACAATGTCACGGGTGTGTTCAGAACCGTGCGAAATCTAAAGCTTTCTTTGCCAACTGACTCCAGGGCCCCGACTGCCAGTGTCACAGCGGCCTGCACCCAGCCTAGGGTCTTCCTCTGGGGAGTTTACACTTTGCTCTGCTTGCTGTGCTCGTCCATAACAGGTGGGGATGTGGGAGGGTTGTGCTGGGTTGCATTGCATTACCACTACGTACTTCCCCGCTCTAGGCCCTGACTAAGACAAAGTGCCCAAGAAGAAGTGAATATGTCTATTGACCGATTGTAAAGGTGAGAGAGGATCTCCAAAGCCCATTGTCACTGCTGCCATCTGAAAGACAGTAAAGACAGAGTTCAGTCTGTTGGAGCTGAGCATACTACGGCTGTTTGTAAAAACTCAAGCAGAGCGGCGGCACAGGGAACCTGCGAGAGGCCTCTCCTTCCTTGCCCCTCACTGCCTGGTCCCAAGGACTGTCCAGCGCTGGGACCCTGCAGATTCCAGTCCCACCAGGCCAGGGTGGAGTTGTGCTGCTGCCACTGCCTCAGGAAGCAGGGTCTTCTCCCAGGGAGGGGGGACTCAAGGCAATAGTAACCTCTGCAACCACTGTCGTTGATTCACCCCCAGCATTTAAAAAGGAGCCCCTCAACTACACCAGACACTCAGAAACAGGCACAGCCCTGAAAGGCCGGAGCTGCCCAACGCGGTCGGCACATCCACAGTGGTTCTTCGCTAAAAGCGTCCAACATCCCACAGCCGTGTTTTGGGCTTCCTAACGTGGAGCAGGAGGCAGTGAGATGTGTTCAAGCACCCTCTGAAGGGAGGTATAAACACCAGTTAAGGGTCCTCCCAGTACAGAGCCAATCCGGCAGCGGCAGGAACAGCCAAGGGAACTGCTCCAAAACGGAGAGGGCGTCCGGATGAAGGGGGGGACACGGGGCAGCACTGCTCTGTCCACGACACAGGAGACAGGATGGTGAAAGGACACTGGTTCCCAGTAACCCCAGACACCATCTAAGTCGGAAGTGAAACCCACGGCAAATTCTTTGGCAGTTCAAGCAGCACTCGGCCAGCCAAGAGGAGAGAGAGAGAATCTTTAAAAATTCACTCTTCGGATGGGTGGAATTTGGGGGCAATTTGCGCAGCTGAGCGAAGGGGGTTTCTTTAGCGGGCCGAGGACAGCACGTTTCGGTTCCGCTGTGGCAACACAAGCGCGTGTACCTGGCTGCGGGCAGGCCTCAGGGCTGTGCTCTGCTTCTAAGTGCAAACAGAACTCCACCTCGTTGGGGAGAGTAAGACACAGAAGGAGCATCCCAGAGGGTCTCTCACCTGAAGGTTGGTGAGCTGCTGTTGCTGGTGGGCGATGGTTTGCTTCACCAGCACGCTCTTGATGCTCTGCTCCATCGCGTACTTCTTCGCCTAGAAAGAAACACAGGCTCTGTAGTTGTACGACACCGGCACCGGGGAGCAGGGGACGACGTCCGACTTCACACCGCAGCTCCCCAGAACCACGCGGCCGGTGCCAGCGGACCCGTCCGGCGCTCGGGCCCCGAGCGCTAAGGCGCCGTACGCCGGCTGAGGGCTCGCTAAGGTCTCGGTCTGCGTCTCGGAGTCGTGAGCCCTGAAACGCAGCACAAGGCTCGAGCGGAGGACTGGCTGGACTCGGGCTGCAGCAGGCGCGATGTCAGGAAAGCGGCATGCACCAGACGCTCGGCGTTTCCCCTCTTCCGCCCTCTGCCCCTTCGATCCCACCATAGCGCCTTACCTGCTGCTGTGAGGGCAGGGCAGAGAGCCTCCTTCAAGTCCTTTCCACTCAGAGCACATCTGGACAAAGAGTTTCTACGAAAGGGAAGGGCCTCCAAATCCCCACGTCCTCCCCCTCTCTTTTCTGATCACATCTGGCCTATTCTGCTTTGGAGGACCCGCTGCTTTAGCCCACTAAAACGCTCCAGGCTCTCCTTCTCTCCTTCCTAGCCTGCAGGCACGAGACCGATCGATCTTTTTCTTTCGGTCTTCTACAGATCGGACAAAGCCCGAGAGCTTTACACCCAGCGGCGTCCACACGCGGGCTCTCTGTCAAGGGAAACCTAACTCCCGACGTGTGCGCCTGTTCCCAAGGGGAAGGTGCAAACACACTCAGCCAACCCCTCGGGCACCTGCTTTCCGTGGCTGTAACGTGTTTGGGAGGTGCCAGGGAACGGCAGGCTCTAAACTGCGGCTTTTGAGACGTGCGCTTCGGAAACCTGGAAACGGACAAGGGGATTCACAGCTGTCAGCTACGGAGAAGCCAGAGGAAACCGGGCCGTTTCGCGCCGTGAGCCAAACATCACACACACAAGCAGCTTCGACGTCACGGGAGCACTCACGCGAAGCCTACCTACAGCAGCGCTCCGTGCGCCTCGCAGACCGCGCCAGCTCCCACCTTCCCTGCTTTCGTTTGCTCTCCCCTCTTTCCCCAGCTCCACTCTCCTCTCGGTAAGCCCGGCACCACTCGCTCCCATCAGGGAAAGCGGGCGAGGAGCGAGCAGTAACCTCCCAGCAGCTGCATAAAACAGGACCAACCGCCAGGAACCGGAGCTGGACCGAGGTTTTACCCACGTTAAAACAGATGGGTCCAAAATCCTCGCTACTGGGTCTCTTCACAACAAGGTGGGAAAGAGCATGAGGGAAAAAATCGGTATTTTGTGACGTGTCCTTGCGTGGATAGAATGAAAAACCAGCTGGGGCGTATCGGAAAGCTACTCCTTGTGGAGTACAGGCTGCTCCTTGTTGTAACTCTGCGGTAGCTGCGCAGTCTGAACGGCAGCGTGACCTTCAGGTGGTGTTTAATTACGATTTGGATTATCTTTTTTTAATTAAAAACCCCTTCCCCACCCCAACAGCAAATTCCACATCATGCACCCCAAAAAGCAGCGATGAACTCTGAACCAGAACAAGTCATCCCCGGGCACAAGCGTGGATGTGTGGCCTGTGCGTACTCCGGGTAGGGGAGCTCCCTTTCAGGACAGACCATCACGGGACGAAAACGGGGCCAGAAAACCCAACCCAACCGAGTGCTAAGAAGCAAACACACGTCAGCTTCACTCACTTTCTGGAGAGCTTCCTGCTGTTCTGGTGTGAGGGGAGGAAGCCCCAGCTTCGCCGCCGTGCTTTGGCCGTTCTCCATCTTAATGGACTCCGTACCCTGAGGAAACAGAAAACACCCATGAAAAACCCGTCCTCGGAAAAGGGACTGATTTCTCCATCCCCAGACACACGGAGCGCTCGATGTCAGAACATCATCGTTGGCTAAAGTCTCCCCAAAGCTACTGGAAACTCATGAAAAGCTGTGGATATTCTTGTGACTCCCTATGGCAGAGCTACCCCATCAGCTGCACAGACTGACTGACACGCTGCGTATTTACAGAGCCTCCTAACGACCAGATTTTCTGCTGGAAGAAAATGAAATAATCCCCAGGCTCCACTCACATCATCTCCACTCTACCTCCCAGCAGCTAAACTCGATCAGATGTACCCATCTATTCCCTCCTCCCATCTGGGGGGGGGGGTCAAGAAAGCAGCTTCTGGGCCACCAAAGTGAGTTTTCACGGCTTCAGACACACAAACGTCAGCCCTGTTTGTATTTTAGGTGTTCACCGACTTCTCTACCTCGGGCTCTTGTTTCAAGCCTGTTCCTGTGAAACGACGGATCAGTGCTGGGGCCAGTATTGTTCAATCTAT